CCAGAATGCAATCAGCATGGGGAAACGACTGGAGCACGACTGAAGCTTCAGCTGTAGCTCCAGCTCCAGCTCCGGCTGCCGCTGCAGCTGCAAGGGTAAATAGCGCCATGGAGCGCTAAGTTTTCTACAGCAACAAAAAAATAAAATAAAATAAAAAAAAGAAAAGGGGAAAAGCAAGAGTTGGCTGGGAAGAAAGAAGCTTGAAGAGAATTGAGCACAAAGGAGCAGCAGCGGGGGACTCGGCACAATTTGCGTTAAGCGTTCTGTGAAAAATGAGGTACGAAATTGAGGCTGGCACTGGACTTGCCTTCAAACTGGAATTTAAGTTTTATTTGAGTTTGGTATTCACATTCAAAGTTCACTAAGACGGACAGGACCAAGAAGCCCCATGCGAGGGATTGTTAGAGAGAGAGGAAAACTTCCTTGAAGGGCAAGAAACTAAGCTGAAGGAACTTCCCACTAAAAAGTTGATCATAGCCTAAATGTTGACACAAGGGGGGATGTTTGCCTAAAGGAAATTATTTAGGATATATATAATGCTACATACATATATAATGCAATATATAATGCAACATATAATGCTATATCTAATGCCATATCTAACTTATATTTAAAGGCAGTGCCGACATATTTCACTCTACAGTTTTAGTATTTTTGTCCAGCTCTCACTGAAAGATCATTTTTATTAAAGGCCAAATCGTCTCAGTACCTTGAGACATAAAACATAAAGTCCATCTAAATTGTGTTCATGGGAATACCAGATCTGTTCCACTGAATTATCACTGTATTTGTTTGTTGTCTTACGAGTATTACGAGTATATCTTCCTACGTACAACGTGCAATATGTTGTTGCATGCTTTATCCAGAACACAACTGACTGTTAAATGTTTTTCGACAGCACCAGCACCACGCGGAGCAGCGGTCGGCACTTTATATTGAAATTGAATTAAAAGCGACACTTGAGCGCGAACTTCCTTACTACCAACAACCAGCAGACACCTCGAGGAATTGTCACGACGCGTACGCGTTCTTCTTCGTTTGAGTTTAGCGAGCAGCTGTACGTCCGTGAGCGTTGCGTACTCAAATCATACTAACTAATTTACTTAGCAGCACGCACTGATTACACAAAGTCATCGTTTGGGGCGCCCATAATCGTGGCTCGGCTGCAGGACGAAGGACGAGTAGCCGTGTCGGCTGGCAACCGAAGAGAGCCACGAAGTTGGAGTTGCACGAAGCGTATGCGAAACGAAGCCAAGCCACTTGCACGAAGTTTAACAGCGAAGAGCGCAACTCGAAGAGAGCATAACAGTGGGTACGCAGGCTGGTTAACAGTCGTCTGTTATTGAACATTGAAGGAATCTCAATAAGTTTTGCGGATGAACCCCCACATGTTTCCGCATGAAGGCATGCACTTACTTTAACTATTACTAAGAAGTGGGTAAACTATTACTAAGCAAGGGGCTGAGTTGCTGCTTGGAGGGAACTAAATTATTACTTGGTGGCATTTTTAAGTGAATAGCAGCTTGATTACTTAGTAAACAAGAGCCAAACCGGCAATCTTCTTGACAGTTAACATGACTTTACTTTAAATAAAAGTCAAGTTTTAGGGCTGGTGATTTATGGGATGTTCTAATTTATCGATTTATATGCAAAAATTTCCACAGAAATTTCGACAAAAAAAAAACACTGACCTCCCTGGTCTCCATGAACATTCAATCATTTATGCTGCCACACACACACACACATTCATGGCCTCTCATCAGTGCCGAAATCAAACATTATTTATGCAAATTACAAACCATTATTATTAAAGCCAGCAGCAGCCATAATAGCAACAAAAACAACAAAAAGGAGAGCAGCGGCAGCAGCAGTAATAGCAACAAGGACTAGAAGAGCCACAAACCAGCAATCATATCCGTCATGGCAGTACCAGAACTAAAAGAGAGAGGAAGTGGATGGATGCAGTAGGGGGAGCGCAGACGGACCTGCCAATACTTTGGGGAACAAATTTGGCAGCCGGCATAAATAAATTTTTACTTAATGTAGGTCAGTAATGCTAAAAGCGACACTCTTTCACTCTCTCGCTCTTGCTGTCTCTTTGGCATTTCTTGCGCTCTTTTGGCCCCCAGCATTCTCTCTTTAGCGTGGCGCTCTCTTAAGTTGAGTCAGGCCATAAAATATGCTACAAAAGTGGCTGCCTTTCCTTTGAGTGTTCGAGTATTTGTGAGTGTGGTGTGTGTGTGTGTCCTCTAAGGACTCTACTTGCATAATGCAAAACAGCCAATGATATCTCCATGAATTCCATAGATTCCATTCCTCATTATTCATGCAGCAACTCAACTGACACACAAAACGACCATGAAAACGATAATTCCAGCAGAATTCTGACCAAAGCAATGCAAGAACATTCAAAGGGGATTATCGTTGAGGTTTAAGTCTAAGAAATAGCCTCGTAGATATTTTGTTTATATGATAAATATTATTTTAGCTATTGTTTTGTATTTTTAAAAGACTCTTTCAGCTTGATTATTAAATTTAAACCTTGAAATTATAATTTTAACTCAATATTCCATTAAACCTTAACGAATTCATTTCGTTCAGCATTAAATTCGGAATATAAACACAAGCCAGTCGAACACTTGCTGTCTGCTTCTACATTGAACTGGTTGCATAGGATGGATTTAATTTACATTTTTTTTCTGCTATTTTTTGGCTATTTCGTGGCACTCATCTCGGGTATGCCACACGTGGCTCATGAGGCTCCAAGCAATTTAAAACACCATACCAGGCATAAGAATCCGCACCATAAGCCCCATCATTCGGATCATACAATGAATCATGCCAAACATGATCCTCCACACTTTCGTGGTCATTAAAAAAAAAGGGATTAAATAATCTTGCCAGCGTGTAGGAAATACCTACAGAAATAACAAAGTTACAAAACTGTAACTAAATATTCGATTTTTATTGAAATAAATCAAATATTTTGTTTGTCATTTAGTTTCAATCGATTACCCCATAAATTTGCTGGAGATTTTAGCATTTCGATGGCCAATACTGTTTGTAAATTGCTTCGAAAAAGTCTGTCCCTAATCAAGATTAAAGCGACTAAAGGAGGTTACTGGTGAAAGTTTCAAGTATGATTCCTATCCACCAATCAACCAGGCAACCGTCTGGAAATGAACAAAAACTTGACTACTGCGAGTGAGAAATAGAGGGCGTTAGAGAAGGCTAAGGAGAGTGAGAAAGAGGGAGTTGTGGGGGGATATTGTACCATCCACAAAGTCCGGTTGCTGTTGCATTTGGCTCAGTGTGTGTGTGCGTGTGTGTGGCTACATAAATAAAAGACGAAACCGAGACACACTCAAACCCAAACCCATCTCCACTTCGGCTACCAATGGATTTCCCTGCGTAAGTTGGCAGCTTCTCCTGCTCCTCCTTCGTCTGCCATTGGACCCAAAAAACTCACACACACAAACACACACACACTTATGCTGTTGTAACGCATCCTGCAACGCAAGTTGGGTCCAAAAATTTATGTACAAACTCACTTAGGCAAGAATGTTTATGCGTTTTGTACGTGTTGGTTGTTGGTTGTTGGCTGTCTGTCGCTCATGTACCCACCTCCTCCTCCCCTAATGCCACTATATCCCCCCAATCTACAACTCCCCCCCACCAAGTCATGTCGTTTATTTTGTCATTTTGTATGCTCTCTTTTTTTGGGGGTAAATTTTTGAATGCCATGCTCCTCAGGGGGTTGTCGAAAAGTGTAATGAAATTTCTCCTCACTAATGACTTAAATGCAAAGGAATTTATTCAGCATTTCGGCATTCGAGAGGCTACTAATTGCCATTGCATTTGATGAAGTTTCAAAAGAATTAGATGAAAAGTTAAGGCCAGTGAAAGGCCACTGAAATCTACAAATATTTTCTTACATTTTTGCGCGGAGTCTTTAACAGTGGAAAGTTGTCGTGAAAGTTCATTCTTTTTAGTGGAGGGGGAGTGAAGAGCAGGAGATTGCCAAGTGAAATCCTGTCATGCTTTGACAACTTTTACGCTTTCCTTTTCCCGCACAGAACGAACAGCTTATTCCCTTGATCACTTACTGTCCCTCTGTCGCCTCTCTGGCGGCCCTTTGGCGGCCCTCTGGTGGCGTGAGGGCCAATTATCTGGTGGCACCTTCAATACCCACTTCAGATGTGGCAGATATTTACATATAATTAGCGCGGACACCCACCCCAAACCCAAATGGCAGGCCACAGCATCAGCAGCGGCAGCAGCGATGTTCTCTCTATTTGCCCAACGCTTTTCCTTTTTTTTTTTTTCTTATTCTTTCCTTCGAGCATTTCTTTTGCAGTTTTTCTACTTTCCATCGCCCCGAAAACTTTGACAATGAAGTTGCAATGATGACGATGCCAAAAAAAAGACAAGAAAAAGATTAGGAGGCAAGCAATATCGTTGGCATGCAGAAAAAGTTTTTTCCTAGAGATGGAAGCATCGAGGCGCCAACTTAATAAGGCCACCAAAATGCGCCGTGCCGCGCCGTGCCGCGCCGCTCGATGGGTGTGGGGGCATGCAAAGTGGAATGCAACAAAGGCTAAGTGTGGTAAAAATTATTCCCTTTTTAGATGCAACATTTCACACGCAATTGATAAAGTTTCTAGCACTGAATCAGGCATAGGGAAATTTCATGATTTTTGCCACCAATGCGGCGTATACGTAACGCTGATCGGTGCATCATCTCTTTTTGGAAAGCTAATTAGAGACCAGAGTCTGGCTAATCAAAATGATGACCAAAGTGATGAAGCTGCACCCACAACAGCAGCAGCAGCCTCCATAGAAGAGTCTCAGTCAGGAGCTGAAGGACGATGTAGTTGATGCTGCAGCTGCTGCTGTGGTTTTCCCTCCAACCAATTATGCGAAGAAAACGAGAGATGTGTGTAAGTGTAAGTGCCCTGAACCCCAACACACACACACACACACATCTAGAGACCCTTTCTATACTGGCAACCCCAGAGCAAACACTGATTCCCAATAATACGCCAAAACATTCTACATACCAAAACAAAACTTCTATTCAGCATATTTCTGCTGCCGTTTACAAACCTTAAACAATGTTTAAGCCGACATTCAAATTGGTACTCGTGGGCGATGCTCAAACGGGCAAAACCTCACTGATAAAACGCCATCTCAACGGCACTTTTGATGAGTTCTACGTGCCCACTGTGGGACACGATATACAGACTCTCGAGTTTCGCACAAAACGTGGACCTGTGTGGTTTACTGTCTGGGACACTGCTGGCCAGCCGAGGCACGAGGGCCTACGCGACATTTGCTACACTGGCAGTCATTGTGCCATCATCATGTTTGATGTGACCACAACCGCCAGCTATGAGAGGGTTGCCTACTGGCATCGCGAATTATTGGCCACCTGCGGCACTATACCCATTGTTATGTGCGGCAACAAGTCGGAGATTATCAAGGATCGTGAGGTCTTCAAATGGCAGTCGCAGTACTTTGATATTTCGGTGAAGAACAACTACGGCTGCAAGACGCCATTTTGCAGGCTCTTCTATCAGCTGATTGGCGAGCGTTTCAAGTATTGTGCCATAGTGCGACCGCATCTAAAAATGATACAGGAGCACGATGAAAATCAAGAGGCTGCGGAGATGGAGATGGAAGTCGACAAGGAAGAGCAAAAGATACCGGAGGTGCAAAATGAAGTCAAGCCAATGGAGATCGATGAGGTATGGCGCTCAATTTCAATCCCAATAAGCGTAGCCATGATAGAGAAGAAGGAAATGGAAGATATGCGCATGGAAATTGATGGGGAAGAGTTCTAAAGTCCAACAAGCGAAACCATTCAGCTATTTATAACTCAAGGAAAGCTTATTTTAAAGCTGATTTTTCGAAATTATTATAGTTACTGTGAATAAAATTTTAACCAAAAGTAAACTGAGGCATTTTCATGCATCAGAGGCCTCTCCATGAGAGACTTCAGTAGAAACACCACAGGCAAAGAAGAAATTTGCACAGGCAAAAAAGAAATTGGCACAGTCAAAGCTGATTACTGATTATTCCAATTTGTATTTATATTTTTAAATGATTATTCCATGGCTCAAAATAATGCAGAAACAATAAAAAAGCGCTCTCGGTTGTTCCCTATTTAAAGGATGAATCGAAAGCAATATTAAGTTAATAACTTAATCAACAACTAAAAGAGATAATATATACACCAATCACCCTCCCCTGTGTCCTGTATCCTCTGTTGAGGCTAACGAGCCACACTGCAAATATTTTCACTGATTGTTGGGATTTGTGTGTGTGTGTGTGTGTGAGTGTGGCACGATTGAGTTGCTTGAATTGATGTCCATTCCACTTGCAACATGACGAATAAATTTTGCTACTGCACTCTCTTTCTCGCCCCCAAAAGCCGCAAATGTTATCACAATTTTATGTGAGTTGAAAAATTAAATTTCACACCACACTGCCTGCAAATTGTGTCTGCGTCGATGGCGACTCTGCCTGCTACCATATGCATATTTTTATGGCCCAATCTCTCGCGGGACAACGACCAGACAAAGGCAAATTGTTGTCAGCTGTGTGTTTGTTCTAGTTTTCAGCTGCAAAATGCAGCAAAAAAGCGCACTAAAATAAGCTCGAAAATATTTGCTTAATGGCATTTTATACTGCGATATTTATCCATATATCAAAATTTATCCATGGCTGCCATGGATAACGCTTTATCCTCGACAAATATCGCCTATTGTTTATTTATTTATTTCGTTTTTGTTAACACGAGGAGTGCCCAATGAAGTGTATTAATCCGTGAAGAAAAATAAAGTTTTTTGTATACATAAAATTTGTGGGAAATGGTTTTAAGAAGAGTTAAATTTTTATGTAGAAGAGAAGAGGCAGTGGTAAGACTTTTTAACAGAGATATAATTTCATTAGGAATTCATCATAAGCTATATGTTTTCGAAATTCAAATATTTGAACTGGTTACGGGGAGCATAGTCTCTCGTGGCTTCACACTATTCCGATTTTAGTCATATATAATTTCAGTCTTAAATTTCATGGTATTTCCAGCGGAACAGACTCACAAAAATTTATATTTTCTACTCGTTGTCTTACTCGTTTTCCCTTTCTGTAAATTTCTGTAAATCTAAGCAGCATAGAACGAACTTTTATTCATTTAATTTATTAAATTTTCTTGCATTATTTATTTAATATGCATTTAATTGCCATCAAATTGTTTATTAATTAAATTTCACTTATGATTTCTCGCCTGAAATCTGGCAACAAGTGAAAAACGTAGGAAAATACACAACATCTAAAGTGAAATGTCCTTCTGTAGTGGAGATTTCACTTCACTCCTCCCCCCGCCACTTCCTTTTCCTTCCCTGACAACTGTTGTCGTTAGGTAAGTATGTTTTTGTTTTTCCCCATTGCTATTTATATTTATTTTACGATTAAGACCAAAGCGAAACAGATTTGTTGACGCCATCCGAGTGCCGTAACATTAAATGAAAATTAATTGTAATGACATGGAAGGCCAAGGACTTCGTTTATTGCGAAGCTGCTGCTTCTGTTGCTGCTGCCATAAAAGCCACAAACATAAAAGGAAGCTGAAGCAAGGAAGCACTTCAAATGGAAGGAATGTGAATGTGAATGTGAACGTGTGTGTGTGCTGAATCAATCAATCAATGCAGCTTTTATATGAATTCTCTAACCATAAAAACGGCACTCGGTAAAATCAATCAAAAACAATCAATTTGCTGCATAAAAAGTGTTACTTTTTCACACTGGCACGGCGATTCGACTGGGGGGAAAAAAACTGCATACAAGTATAAATTGTGTTACGAAAAGTGCCACAAATCGCATGAGGCAAGCAAGTCGTTTAACCAACCAAATGAAACCAATTAAATGGTTGCACACACTCGCACACTATTTTAAGGTAAATTCTTTTATAATAGCATTTTTTCACATGAGAAATGGAACGGGCAGAAGAGAGGCCTTCTCTCTCTCTCTCCATAATATTTATTTCCATCTCCCCTTACTGAGAAACGTGTACAAAATGTCTGTCTACAGGAGAAACGTGCTGTCAATAAAAGATTTGCATCGACAGAGCATCGCATCGCATCGCATCGACATCGGCAGATGCCAGAAGGGGTTCGTTCTGGTTCCTTCTAGAGATGTAGTTGGAATTTATTTTTGTTGCAACATTTTGCAAGCATTTACCGAACGTGATTTGAGTTACTTATCGAACATAAATCTTCCTTTTTCCATGCACTCACCTTTCAACCCATCCATAGCCAGGATGTATGTACATATAATGTGTGCCAAAGGTGCACACACACACACACACAGTTCTTTACGAGTCCTGTTTGGTGTGTGCTTAGGTGTGTGTGTGTGCAACAAATGTATTTTTTCCGTGCCAGCAGCATTTCGTATAGAGCCTCTCGTTTATTGCTTCCACATAAGGTCCAGTGGATATTTTTGCATGCCATGCAAAATGAAGGATTCTCCGCTGTAGCTGAACGAAAACTGCAAAAAATAGAAAATATAAAAATGAAATTCATGCTTAAATTGGTAAATATTCGAAGCTTTTTGGATAACCAAAAAAAAAGGAGTTTATTCGCATAGAATTCAATACATAAATCTGAATTTTAATAAAGTGTTGCATAAAGCCTTGGAAACCATATAAAAAATTATATTTTAGATGAATTTTGCATAAAATCTTTTGGTTTTAAATTGATAAACCATTTCTTATATATTTCGCTAGCATGTATATATAGGAGGGCTCTAGACCTGGACTTTTTGCAAGTTTCCTGGATAATGGTTTACTGGTTGGACTTCTGCTACAACTACCAGGCGTCCAAAACGAGATTTGAAAATATAGAAGGCGACTTTTTCATAGAATTAGCTTAGAATTAGCTTACAGCACCATGGAAGACTTCGATAGAAAAACGCGAAACGCCCAATACGATGGGTTGCACAATGTAAATTGAAAGGGAAATGGATTCATATCGGATGGCACAATTGGGCAACTTCTTTATATGAAAACAGGGACGATGTAAGACGCTCTAAAGACTGTCTGTAAATTTTCTATTGTATTGATTGGTCTTACATTTTTCGTCATGTATACGGCTACGTGTCCAACATAACGGGTAATATACTTATTATAATAGTTCTAAGTTTGGTATATTTCACCGGGCTAACCCCGTATAATCGGGGCTTACATTTTCGTCATGTATACGGCTACGTGTCCAACATAAGCAGAAAGGTAATAAATAAAAATTTAATTAATAAATAGTTCTAGTAGTTTGAGTATAATTTCTCACTCAGAGTGAACTTAATCCCCCAAGAAATAAAATAAATAATAAACTGAAATTTATTCCTGGAATTTAATAAGAAAATAAAAGTGTAAGTCAAGGCAGGAAGATCTTTAAGGTAGGAATTAGTTTAATCTGGCTCTATTATAAATTAATTCTGCGTTACCCATAAATATCCCCACTTTAAGTAAGTAACCCCAGAAGCCTCACTGCAACATCATTACAAACGCAAAATTCAGTATACCAAAAAAAAACAATATTCGCATAAAACTTGACTTTTTTTGATCCATAAATGACCCAATTCAAAGCAATTAAAAAAGATTTATGTTGCCAAATCACATGACACTTTTCTAGCTTTCTTTGATTACTAGCTTTTTGTTACTAAATGTCAGAAATATTTGTCATGATTTTTTGTATGGGCTTAAATAACAGCAATAGCAATTGTTGGCTCAAATTTCATACAAACTAAAAACCATTTGTCATTTTATTTAGTGTGTGAAAAAGTGTAATTTTTTACGGCACTGAAATTGGATAATCGTCAAAAGAAAATAAAACGGAATTAAAACTGCAAAAAATTGTGAATATTAGCAACGAATAACAGTAAGTAAATAAATAGAAAGTGCAATACTAAAAGCAAAGATTTAGAAATGAATCAAAGTGGAAACTGTTTGGGAATTACACGCCTGAGAAGCGTAGGGCGCCTGTCTCTGCTTTTGGTGTACGTACTCGTACCTGAATGCCGTTTTCGTACGGTACTCCAATTTAATATCAGACACATTGATTGAAGTCTCGACATTTGCAATTGCTGTGCATTTTATTGACTTTCATTCCAACAACAGCAGCAGCAGTAGCAGCTCCAACTCCAAACTCCTCCTCGAAAATCCTCAATTCGTGGAGTTTCAGTGCATTCCATCAATGTTAATTGCCTCAATGTTCCACTCTCTTTTTGGTTCATGTATTTTCGATTTTAAATTGCCCTCGAAATCGGTTGGTTGTGCCACCGAAAAATCATTGAATGCAGCCAAAAATTTTTACTGCAATTGAATCAACACCCACAACAGAGAGCTATTTGCATTTACCCTCGCCGTTGTTCCATCTGATCCTTTTTCATTTAATGGCAGTCAAAAGTCAAATCGAATTTTATTCCCCAGAACCCATAACTATTACCCAGCGACCCATCGATAGACCCACACAGCCATAAACAGACCCACAGTCAGAGGCACAGTCAGAGCCATAAGCACACCCATCTATAGACCCACAATTCAGCCCAAAAAAAAAAACCCCGCCCAACACCCATTCCCTCGCACATCTATCAATTCAATGCTGACCCAAACAGTTTTTCAAATTGCCAGGCCTTCAATTAGCTGCATAAAGTTCAAGTTTCATTTTCAATTTATGCATTTTCATATTGCTAAAAAAATAGAACAGCAAAAACAGCAAAGAAAAAACAAGTGGGAAATTCGCTGGGGGGAGAAAGACAGTGATAGAGAGAGAGAGAGAGAAAATTATTCATAATCGTTGGAATGGCTTCCTTCCGAGTGTTGCCAGTTTCAACTGTTTGGCAGTTGGCCAATGGATTATTGAATAGGAAGGCACTGTGAAACGGCTTAAGCGAAGAGTGAAGAAGCCCCCAGGGAAGGAAAAGAAGGCTGAACTTGTTGCCATTTTGCAGTCTAATACATACACTGGAAAATATTTCTACTGGGACCATACAGCTGAAGCTGAGCAAAACCTCAGAGAAAATTAAAAATACTTTTTCGAATGAACATAAAATAAATATTGAATGGACATATTGATCAGCCAAAGACAATAAAATACCAAGGAAAAAATACATCTAAATTTGCTTTCGATGCTTCATAGTTCGGAAGCTCGGGGGTTACTGCTACTTCAATTCTCTTTTGAAAATCGGGCAGTTGAATCGGTCCCATAAACCAAAAACAATTCATACACTCTTTGGCAAGATGCAGAACAGATATTCTTTGGTCATACTCAGTGCAGTCCTTAATTCCTCCCATTTTTTTCTGCCTACTTTAATGATTTAGTTTTCTTCCTATAAATAAATTCATTTCCACCCAACAAAAATCTTCAGTGTACTTCATAATTATCCAATGTCTTTTTGGCCCACAAAAAGGCATTTCATGGCTCGCCTTGTGTTGCCACAAACAAAAGAAATGAAAGAAAGATGGCCAAAAGAGAGTGTAAAGCAGAGAAGTGGCAACGGCAACGGCAACAACAATTGCAATTGTTTCAATTATGTCAGACAACTTCTCGACTTTATATACCGTCCGTATATATATATATATATGTACTGTAGGCAGTGCAGTGCAGCTGGCAGAGTGCATATTGCCACTGCCAGCAGTTCGCAATTATGTCTGGATACGGCAAGGACACCATACCACATCACTCCATTTGCAGAGACACATTACTCCTCCTGTGAAGAGCCCACATCTTTCCTTTGAAGAGACATATCCTCGCCAGAGCCACATCCCAGTTGCAGGAGCCAGAGTCACACACCAGTCGGAGGACAGCACCCAGAGCCACATACCAGACTCCATTCAGACACTCCAAAAGCCGAATTACTCTTAATGCCAACGCTCTTTGCTTTGTTTGCTTTTGTTTTCTCATATTTTCACACATCCCCACTCCCTCTCTGTCCCTGTTTCTCTCTGGTTTATTGTGTCTCCGTATAACTCGTATAACTTGTATATTTTGCGTATTATAATTTGCATAAATTTGCTACTCCGCAAGGGCCACAAAAAGATGACAGTCGGCAAGAGGTGGCGGCGGCTCACAAAACAATTTAATAACCAACAGATACAAGTGACAAAATGAATTATGTTGTTATTTCGAGACACATGAGAGGGAGCATCTACTTGGGTGTAGAGATTCTTTTTCAAGTGTGCACAGTAAGCGCTGTGGGATTTGTGGTATGTGTGCGACTGCAAGTTGATATTAGATTGGGTAGATTTTTGTGTCTGCATTAGCAGAGTGTATGCCACAGGGAATTTGAATAAGAAAAGCCAAGGATCTGACTAGAATTTGGACAGGAATCAAAAGGAGTAACCACATTCCCCCAGCTGTGGGACTATCAGAATCAGTTTTATTTGTACACGATCTTTGGCATTGTTAACTCTAAAAACAAACACAATCCACTCAAATTAAAAGCAACCCTTGCCTGCTCTAATTTTAAATTTAATAAGTGCTTTTAACCTCTCGCACTTTACCGACAAAGCCACTCCAAAATGCTTGCCACATCGTTGACGTCAACCAATTGTAAACAGGAAAAATATTGTAAAGCCAGAGCAAAATGTGTGTACCAGGAGAGCAGCGCCAAGCAGAGGAGTTTCGGTTTGTGCAATGACATGTTGTTGTGATTTAATGTACATATTGGCCGGACCTGTTCTCTTTTGCGGTCTCTCTTTCTCACTCTCTCTATCTGTGTGTGAAGCATTGCAATATATATTACCCATATTGCTTTTCCCAGCTTTATCCTCTACCCCTACCCCACTTTTCATGGCTGTCGCTGACGGATATATTAAAGCTTCGATTATGCCATCATCTAAAGGGAGCAGCAGCACGGGAACGGAGCGACTCCGCTGTGTGTGTGTGTGTTTCTCATGTGTCTGTCTTTCTGTCTGTCTTTCTGTCTGTCTGTCTGTCTGTGTATTGAGGCAGACAACAAATTGTTAGACGCTACAATGAACATTCGATGCGATTGATTGAAAAGTCAGCCAGGAAAAAAAGGAGATAAAATGCCATTGGTTTATGCTGTTATCAGGCTGAAAAGGATCACAGGACTCACTCACACTCCTCTATTGTTGTGTGTCAACAAGTTTTCGAGGACAAACAATTTAAATTACAAAGCAAACTCAATAAAAATGTTAAAAACTTTTTTCTGGCCAACAACAGCAGAGATTTTGTTTAGTTGTTGCTGAGGTCCTTGACATGCATAAGTTATGGCCAGAGCAAAAAGGGATACACAGGATGAGGAAGAGAGCACACAAAAGTTTTATAAGAAAAACAAATCGCATCGCTTATTTATAAGCCTGTAAACAGATTTTATGAGCCAAGGACCTGCGTCCCTTCCCCCATACCCCTGCTCAAAATAAAGTCCGAAACACAGGCAGGAAGTAACAGGATGAAAGCAGGAAGAAAGTTGCAATCGTGTCGCTCGATTTTTAGGCAGCAGTATTCCATATCCCCTCCTATATGTATACCCCCCGTTTGTGTGTCCCTCTTTTTTGGCCAATTTTCAATTTATTAAAATGACCGTCAAAAATCGTTTTTCTCTGTGCAAAAAAAAAAAAAAAAAAAAATTGAAAAGTTTTGCGCGCGCTTAACCTAAAACACTTTTTGGACACTTCCCACTTCGTTTTTTTCGCGTTTGTTTTTCTGCTTCTTTACATTTTCGTTTTGGCCATTTGGCGGGAAAATCGTTGACTGGGTTAAGGCAAAACTTTTGGCTTGGACAAAAGTTTATCCTGCTCTCTTTTTATTCTTCGGCGTAGGGTGGAGTATGTGCCTGGGCTTATGATTGCCTTCGGAAGGCATCTCCATCGCACCCCGGTAGTTGTTTTTCCATTCAGCCAGCCACCAGACAGCAGCATAATTTTTGATTGGGTAACTTTTTGTGTCCTGTGCTTGTGTGTTTTCGAGAGTTGATATCCCTTTTCGGTTCATTTCTTATGCTGAAAAATCCCTCACACACGCGGTGTGACCTTTTCCACCTGACTTCCGGCGCGAAAAATGCGTTTAATTTTTGTTCAACTATAAATAAGAAAATGGTGGCAGTGAAAGAGGCGGAGTGGGTGCCGAACTGGGAGTGAATCAGTAGCCTGGCAATCCTCTAACCTAAATACCGGAAATGCCCTTTAAATGGCGCTTCCGGCTCATGTGAGCAGGGGTCGCTGGTCGCTGGTCCCCAACCAGACAGCGGTGGGTGGCGCAAAATGTTAAAAAGCAAAAACCACAGCCATAGCCGCCATAGCCGCCATAGCCGCCATAGCCACCACAGCCACAGTGCCACGCGGGCCCACGGGGCAAGCCGTTTTGGCTAATCAAAATGTGCAGCCAACTGCAAAACGGCCAATGCGGGCTGGGTTGGGGTGGGATGGTATATGTGCACATATTTGGGTGGGCGTATGGGGGGGAAGTTGTTTGACCGCAGCAAGCACACACACAAGCCTTGGGCAGCATACGTACACGCTTTTCAAGCCAAATTCAAGTTTCATGCCAAATATTAAGTTTTTTTGTGTGTTTCAAAGTTGCTAAATTATTAAAAAATAGGTAATAATTCTACTCATTTCGTTGCTTCGTTTTTCGCTGATTAAATCTCAATTACTAAACTTCGTATCTGTTTTGCTTTGATCCTCCAAAAACTGTTGCACTTGTGCGGCTGCTCATTATTTAATTTTTTATTTAAATTTTTTTTTTTTAAAAATTAATGAAAATTCGCACGTATCCATAAATAATAATTTACCCTTTTGTTTCTTGGCGCACTTTTTTTTTATGGCCCAATCAACTAATCAAAAACCTTCTCAGAAAATCCGCTTATAATTTTCCTTTCAACTTTTCCCACCGGATTTCGCTGCGAGTTTCACTTTAAGCAAACAAAAGGCAGGACAGGACAGTGCAGGGCAGGGCAGGGCAGGCCAGGGCAGGGGGGCCAGCATCCTACGAGTACCAAAAAGGCCACGGCACGTATTTTTAATTAAACTTTGTGCCATACCATTAACCCCTTTATACTTTAGGCTCAGACACAGAGCCTGACCCCGAGCCCCTTCCCATTGTCTCTCTCTCTGACCCGTTGCGTGCCAAGTTTTTGCGGTTAATTATCGATGAGAGAGCGAGAGCGAGAGCAAAGGAATCTCTCGCATCTGGGCAACGTCCTTGGGTTCGATCCGCCAAGTCGAAAAGTTAAATGAAGTGCAAAGTCGGGCACATTGTTCCAAAAAGACTCCATACAAAAGGCTGCAGGGGCAGAGTGGGGACGGTGGTCATCAATGGGTTAATAAGCGGCCAGCAGCTGCTGCTGCTACATCAAAATAATGAATGCCTTTCAGTTATTGTGCTACGTGTTATTTATGAGGGCCCTTACATTCATTATCTTTATCAGTTTCGAGCGCATTTCCGCCTCTGTTTCTCTTCTCTCTCTCTCTCTATTGCCTTTACTCTCCCCCAGTGAGACTTGTCTTAGCATTAGATAAATATATATAACATGCAGTTACATAAATCTATAAAAATCACCTTTATACTGATACTGAGTATCTTAGGGTTTCGGCACGTCCATTTCAATCCTAAAAATCTTTCCCTCTTTTTTTGTTCTTAAAGTCCGTTCTGGAAACTTTTTCTCTGATTTATTCTCGAGTGTCATATGTGTGTGTGCCGCCTAAAATAATACTAATGATTACCGTTTGCCTAATTTATTGGATTTCTTTTGCACGCAATCGCAGACAGTGGACAGTGGTGGTCCTTTGCTTCTTGGAGGGAGCGGTAGTCGTGGCTGGGGTTTGTCCTTTTGCTCTGGTCATTTATTAATTGCGGCCTGTGCGTTGTTGCTGTTGTGGCTGCGTGTGCTAATCTCTTCATTATGCGATTTCATAATGGATTACATTCAAATAAATGTGTGCCTCATTTGCCATCTTCTGCGGCCTCTTTCTTTTGCTGCCATTCCATCCTTTCAGCTGGTAATTTGCTTTAATTTCGCTGCCATTTGCCCACTAATGATGGCATCATTGGTGTGGGCGCTCAGGGTTAATAGGTCAGCCGCGCGCATTCTGTTGTTATATTAATGTCTGCTAATGTTTTCGGGCGGCCCTTGTAATTGAATTGAATACCCGTAAGATGCAGCAGTCAGTCGTGTGAATTAATAGATTTTTGGGTGGTGTTCTGTGTGCTATTTTTATGGCAAGTTTTGGTCTTATTACAGCTGATATCTGTACGGCAGAATACTCGCAACTAAACTGCATAAGCCCACAGCTAAACCACTCAGTATTCGCCCCCATCCAAGGTGTTAAATTCTTTTTGCCTGGGCTAACCCATTCCCACTTTCCTTGCCACCCTTTTACCTGTGCGACAATTTGTAACCCAAAAAGTGAAAACCATTTAAATAGTCGTAAAAATGTGCGACGACAAGCGACAACTGAAATACAATAAAAGCCAAAAGTTGGGGAATGGGTTTCACATCCACATCCTGTGGATGCTGTGGAAGAAACATAAGCTCTTTGCCACGGCGGGGAGGTAAGGGCAAGTATCTCTGTCAGCTGCGCTTACAAGCAAGCGGCGTAAATTGAAAACTGTTAAAGCGAAATTGGGGGTTGGGTTTGGGTTTGACTGTACTCAGACATTGAGGGGGACATGCAAAAACGACAGCGACAAATGGCGCGGGCGCTTGTTCATGAAAATTTAAATTGCAAAATGGCTGTGGCACTGCCTCTGACTCAGCCAGGAAAAGTACCGCCCACTTTTGCTAATATTTGTGTTTTAATTACCTGGAAAAGTGTCAGGCCAAGCGCGGAGGAGAGAGAGAGAGTCTTAGGCTCTGGAGGCAGGAGACAGTTTTAAACTCTGGAGGCAGGCAGTCTCTGAGGCTCTAGAGTCTTAGGCTCTAATGTCCTCTGGAGTTGTGTGCAAATTTGTCCGCCATCCTGTGGCAACAGTTTGCTGCCTGCCTGCCTGCCAGTCAATGATTTGCCAGAACATTGTGTTCTTTTAATTATAATATTTGTGCTTAAAAAAGAAAGAAAGTGAATGGAAAGAAAGGTTAGTTTATGTGGAAAATTCCATCAAAGATACATTTTCTATACTAATTTTCCCATTCCTGATTTTAAACCCAAAACCTACTTGCTTGCCCTTAAATCTAAAAATATTTCCCATCTATTTTACACAGCTTTCCCTTTGGGGGTAAATCTCGCATCAAATGAAAAGTAGGCTGCGCCTTGCCTTCAGTTTGCAGCTGACAAAATTTCTGGCTAGCATTTCTCAGTTCGTTTGTGTTGTTCGAAACGGAAACATCAGCAACAAAAAATATTTATTTTTTCCAAATTACAAAAAATAAATCAATTTAAAACTAAACAAAAGTTAACAAAAAAAAAAAAACAGAAATTTTAAACAAAATTAAAAAAAAAAAACAAATCGAAAACAATTTAAAAAAGATTTAATTTAAATAGAAAATTACAGAAAAAAAAACGTCGTAAGTGACATTTAATTTTCGGCAAAAGGGAATAAAATTTAAAATGCAATTATCCTTTTGGTAGATGGCAATGCTGCGAGTGTTGCATCGTGGCCCAATCATCAACCATTTCTTGGCCGTTCATGGCTATCGTCGCTATGCCAAGGACGTTAAGTTCGGCCCGGAGGTGCGCGCCATGATGCTGCAGGGTGTGGATGTACTTGCCGATGCCGTGGCCGTGACCATGGGCCCCAAGGGACGCAACGTAATCATCGAACAGAGTTGGGGCTCGCCGAAGATCACCAAGGACGGCGTCACCGTGGCCAAGTCCATCTCCCTGAAGGACAAGTTCATGAATATTGGCGCTAAGCTGGTGCAGGACGTCGCCAACAATACAAATGAGGAGGCTGGCGATGGCACCACAACGGCCACAGTGCTGGCCCGTGCCATTGCCAAGGAGGGCTTCGAGAAGATCTCGCGCGGCGCCAATCCCGTGGAGATCCGTCGCGGCGTCATGCTGGCCATCGAAACGGTGAAGGAGAACCTCAAGAAGATGTCCCGGCCGGTGAGCACACCCGAGGAGATCTGCCAGGTGGCGACTATCTCGGCGAATGGCGACGAGTCGGTGGGCAATCTCATCAGCGAAGCCATCAAGAAGGTTGGCCGTGACGGTGTCATCACGGTAAAGGACGGCAAGACGCTCACCGATGAGCTGGAGGTCATCGAGGGCATGAAATTCGATCGTGGCTACATTTCCCCGTACTTTATCAACTCCGCCAAGGGGGCGAAGGTGGAGTTCCAGGATGCCCTCTTGGTGTTTTGCGAGAAGAAGATAAAGACGACACAGAGCATCCTGCCGGCTTTGGAGCTGGCCAACGCTCAGCGCAAGCCGCTCGTCATCATTGCCGAGGATGTGGAGGGCGAGGCGCTCAGCACGATGGTCCTCAATCGGCTCAAGTGCGGCCTTCAGGTGTGCGCTGTCAAGGCGCCAGGTTTTGGCGATAATCGCAAGGAGACCATCGAGGACATGGCCATTGCGACCGGCGGCATTGTCTTCGGGGACGAGGCGAATCTCGTGCGCCTCGAGGACATCAAACTGAGCGACTTTGGACGTGTCGGCGAGATTGTTGTCACCAAGGACGATACGATGCTGCTGAAGGGTCTGGGCCAGCGTCCCACGATCGATCGCCGCATCGAGAACTTGCGCGAGGCCATCCAGGACACCAAGTCCGAGTACGAGAAGGAGAAACTGCAGGAGCGTCTGGCGCGTCTCTCCTCGGGCGTGGCCCTGTTGCGTGTCGGCGGCTCGAGTGATGTGGAAGTCAACGAGAAAAAGGATCGCGTCAACGATGCTCTCAATGCCACACGCGCCGCTGTCGAGGAGGGCATCGTCCCTGGCGGCGGCACCGCTCTCCTGCGCTGCATCAGCCGCCTGAATGACGTCAAGGGCGCCAACGAGGATCAGAATATGGGCATCGAAATCATTCGTCGTGCGCTGCGCATGCCCTGCCTCACCATAGCCAAGAATGCGGGCGTCGATGGCGCCATGGTGGTGGCCAAGGTGGAGATCCTTGACGGCGATTATGGCTACGATGCGCTGAAGGGCGAGTATGCCAACATGATTGAGCGTGGCATCATTGATCCCACGAAGGTGGTGCGCACAGCCATCACGGATGCCGCTGGCGTGGCATCGCTGCTGACCACCGCCGAGGCTGTCGTTACCGAACTGCCCCTGGAAGAGGCTGGATCTGCTGCCATGGGCGGTGGTATGGGTGGCATGGGCGGCATGGGCGGCATGGGCGGCCTCGGTGGCATGATGTAAGATCACATCACAGCACACTAAAATACACTTAGAACAAAAAAAAATACTACACTTATGCAGAGCTGATATCTGCTTTGCACTACGGTCAACACTACACCACACAGTACGCTACACTCCACTACACTGTACACTACACTAGTACACTGTACACTGTACACTGTGCTACACTGTGCTGCAAAAATCTGGAACGGATCAATGGTTATTTTCCTCTGTACCCCACACATACCTACCATATGCCCCACACACATTGTGGCATATTTAATTGGATTATTCGTCGCACATCTTACACTATGCTGCACACATCACACATTTAATTGTTTTATTCGTCCCACATTTACACTGAAATATTCGTCGTTTTTTCGTGCTATTATAAATGGATTCTACAAGTAACACACTAAGCCTCAGATGTTAGGCAGACTGAGACAAAAAAAAAACGCAAAACAAAAACAAAGCTTTGCTTTGGCCCAATAATCGATTGTCCGATTAAAACACAAACATTGCCGCAAATATTCAGTGCCAGTACTGAGACTAAAAATCTATTTGATGTTAATGCCAAACACAACACACAGAAACAGTAGAAACAGTAGCAACAATTGCTCATAGATATTACGGCGCAGAGTCCCCTCCGTAATATTATGGCGTCTCCCAAATCTGCAATTTGGTGATTGAAATGAAAACAAAAAATGCAACTGCAACCACAACTTTAGCTCAAACATATTACGCCACTAAAAATAAAACACAGCACACATAAATGTGCGTAGCTGTCTTAGCTTTAATGTACATAGAAAAAGCTGTTAAATGTTCCCTAAATAAATGTATTATCAATGCAAAATTCAAATTGTTTCTTGTCGGGCATCATTAAAGGTAATTTACGCCCTTGATCGATTGTGGTATATTCGAAATATTCAAAGAAAAACACTCAGCAAAATGTGACTATTACCCTGTTAAGGCAGGCCATCCAAATTTGCGATGGTTAATAATGTTTTGTCGCTCCTCATCCTTGTCTCATCATTTCCATCATTCACCTCGGATGTTCTTAATTTGCATGGCAAAACCAGAGTACGATACGGTCAAAACCCAATACAAACTTTAAACAATAGTTAAGAAATATACAAAAAAATTGACATTTATTTACGTAAATAAAATGACAAGTAAATATATTTTGTGCCTGCACCGAGCAGCACCGAATCAAACTACTACAATCAAAATAAAAAATATTCATAAAAAATTTAGAAAATATATCTACATTCTAGATGATTGGTAAGTAGCAGAACCAGGCGAAGGTTATGCCGCATCCATCCGTCCGACTTGGCCACCAGGAATATATAAATTTCTGTTGCACAATCTCCTTTCTCGTTCGTTGGACACGCATTTAATTTAAAATAGTAAATTGTAAATAGAAATTGTCCTTGACCCTTAACAAAAGTTGCTAATCAACAGTAACAGTACGTTAAGTAATTGTATTTTATTGTCTGTGATAATTGTGTTTACAATAAACCTACATAATGAACTTAATGAACCTCAAAAAAAAAAATTATACCCTTAAAATTAAAACTTTTTAAAAGTTAATAATTTAGAAAAATTGCACTACTCAGCCCATTTCCGGTTGCAGTTAATTGCCACCCAAGAAGGTTAGTAGTTTAGTCCTAAAGGATGCTGTGGAAGGAAATAATGCCCGCAGACGGTGACCGACTCGACTTGTTTGTTAATGTTTCCTACTATCCTCTCCTCGCCGCATTTTCATTTTATTTTTCCTATGTTTTGTTGCCATTATTCTCTATCCTGGAGCGGGGCACACTCCCTCCCATTCACCCTCCCACTCTGACAGTCTGCTTTTGGCCAGGAAAGTGTACATTTACACATGTCCTTTGCTGTGTTGTGTTAACCACTTGTTGTAGTTTTTGCATTGTATCCTGTCTCCTGTCTCCTGACTCCCTGGTTCCTGTCCTCTCTCTGTTTCCTCGGGGTTTCTTTCTTTTTTTTTTTTTTGGGATTTCGCTATGAAATATTACCGAGTCAGAGACAATGGGACCCCAATGGGAGCTGACTTTTTGGCGCTTCTAATTGTTCTGAAGAGCCAACCGCCACTTGACTTTCATTTAGCATTTTCTGCTTAACATTTTGACATTTATAATGGGATTCATGCAGTTGCAAATAAAAAATAAGAAAGAGATCCATTTGGGATGATAGCCTTGCGCCTGGCTTAAGCGTATGCAAAAAAGGAAAAAACACTTGAGGCATGGGGCTGCAGCTGCGGCTCTCCTCTCTCTCTCTCTCTCTCTCTCTCTTTCTGTTCCCTTGGGCTCATCATCATACACACCAAAAACGACGCAGGCAATGCAAAATCTTCTGGCCATGCAAAGTGGGTAACAGAGCGTGCTTGGCAATCTTATTCCGTCAGGGCTTCAGGCCACTACCCCGCCCCTCCCCACCCACTCCTGTTTAAGCTTCTCTCTCTATATAAGGCATGTCGTGCATTATGCCCGCGGCTCATCCTTGACGCTGCCTTCCACTCGAGTTGCAACATTGCTGCCTGCGTGCCTGCCTGCCTGCCTGCCTACCGCGACCTGCTTATTCTTGGCTCTGCTGCACCTCTGGCTGTTTATGTTGTCAACGCAAATTGCACTTTCAGCTTTCCGTGTGATGTTCAAGTGCCTGTTAAGCGAGAAGATGATGATCCCAGCACACCCACACACCCACTCACCCACACACCCACTCACCCACACACCCACGTGTCTTAATGATGCTACAAGAGCTGTTGATGCCTCCGTCCATACCACAAGATGACGACGAATGAACAAGCCCAAGGGCCCACACTCGCATTGGCCTGAACAATGCTGCGCCACTTAATTATGAAAAAGGCCGCGTCGAGTGTCGGCCAGAGTCTGTCCAGAGTCCAGTGTTCAGTGTTCAGTGTCCCCCGGTGGCCTGCCACCATAACGCCCCATCTAACGGCAGATTTACGACACTGGCTAATCCTCGCTCGCTTAGCGCATTAAATCAGCTCCGAAATGGCCATAAAATTGCCCTCGCCCTCGCCCTCTCGACCTCCTCCTGCCCACATGGCAAACATTTCAAAAAATTGACAATTTATTGCAACAGTTGTGTGACAGTGCAAGAGGAGGGGTGGGGGAAAAAGCAGGGAACTAAAAAATATTTCCACGCCACGAAAAGGGAAATTAAAGTAAGTAAAGTTTTCTATGGTTTTGGCCACGAATTTTTTGTGCTCTACAGGTTTCAGAGGGCCAAAATGGGACTGGGTTAAGGGTTCTAAATATATCAGCGGATAAATATTGATATTCGATGTGTATATAAAAAGCTCTAAGATCGCACAAAATATAGTTACAAATGAGTAAAAATATTTTGGATATTTTTACTTCGATAATTTGAATACTTCTTCAAATTTTTCATTTAAATGTACTTTGAAAATAGCTGAGAATTCCAATAAAATAATTTGTTGTCAACTAAAACTCATTAAGTTATATGATCTTAAATTTTTGACAAATGTTCCCCTTCACTGGAATTCCCTTCATTTAATTATAAAAAACTCTTTTATTCCCTTGAAAGCTGTACTTTATTCTTTTATGCCCTATTGTACATTTATTAAAAACTCCACGACAAATGTACAGACATATGTATCTTCCAAGCTCGAACTTAACAAAGGAGCCCATAAAAATCTCTGGTCACTGCCATATTCCCCTGAGCACATACATAGTTCATCCCAAAGTTGTCCTGTCCTGCCCAGAAGCAGCTGGCTACCGTTTTCTGGTTAGATTTATTTTGCATTTGATTTTGATTTTGATTTTTGTTTGCCTGTTGTAGTTGTAGTTGTAGTTGCAGTACTTGTACTCGTGTGTGTTGTGTATGCATGCAACATGCCGTTGCAGTTGGCCCCTGCGCATGCAAAATACATGTACAATATGGCCATTGTTATGATTTATGTGGCAGAAATATTTCAGGCGCGTTTCCTGCAAATGTTTGCCCATTTACAAACGGAGAGAGGAGGAGAGACCATGTGAGCAAAAATGAAAAGAGTAATGGTGGAAGGGCAGGAAGTGCGGGGAGTGCCGCGCGCTACTACAATATTTTGTTTAAGTCTGGCCAAATTCAATTTCAATTTGCACCCCATCAAAAGACAAACAAAAGTCTTTGAACTCTTTCTAGCCATAAACATATTTTTGGTGTACATTTTTGTTGTTGCTGTTGTTGTTGTTTTCTTTGGCAATCATCCCCGCAGTCTGGTCTGGGACAACATGTGGAGAGAAAAACTGTGAGACTTCGACTTTTCGTGTCAGTTGCAGCAGCTTTTAGGGGCGTTCTGTCTGCGGGTTTCTGTCGTAAATGTTGTCGCCTTTCGCTGGGGTGTTTTCCCCCGCCCCATCCATAAACAAATTCGTTTTATGCATTTACATGAATGGTGTGGGGGTGTTGGAAATCGTAATTGAATTTCATGTTTCTGCGCCTTCAACTCTTTGATGTTCGCTTAGAGGATCCCTCAGATTCTCCTAATGGACATGCCAGAAAAAAATCAGCTAAGTGAAGGTCTACGAACGGTATCCAAAAGTGGCTCTGGGGGCTGTGCAATTCATAAGCGGAAATGGCAGTCTAATGCAAACACAAAACACACACACCCCGAGACCCATATGGCCGCTCCTCTCATCTGTTCCCCAGGAAATGCAACTGTTGACCGCCCCACACATTTGTGTGTTTTGGATGGCACGATGTGCACGTATCTGCTCTCTGGCCTGGTCACCAAGTGGCATGCGTTTCTAATTTCCTGACCGAGAGCCCCCTATCCCCTATCCCCTATCCATCCCCTGGGCCACCGGTTGTCCTGGCAATTCGAAATTGCAACTCAGTCAAATTTATAAAACGAGATTTTTGGGGCTTACCCCTGTTTTTAATGCGTGTGTTTTGTTTTGCTTTGGCTGTGTGTGTGTGTGTGTGTGTGTGTGTGTGCTAGTTAGGGATTGCCCCAAGGAGAGGCTGCCCTGTCGCTTGCATTACGATTAATTGAATTTGCGATGGCATTGCGAGCCAACTGACAGACAGACAGCCAGACAGACAGACAGCTTAACTGACAGACAGATACGAGTACTCGTTTGAGAGCAGAACAATGACTGCTGATGATGATGATGCATGAGGCACGGCACTAGAGCAGCAGATGGATATATGGATACATTAAAGAAAGCTACTGCTCCAAGAGTGTGTGCAATTTATGAATATAATACGATAATAATATTCTTATATTTTAATTAAATATCAAAATACTTTTGAAAATATTAAACTCTTTGAATCGTAATATCGTGAGTGTAATATATTTATTTTGTAGAAAATGTATTTCATATAAATATAAAAATATAATTTAAATTCGATATATATTTATTTTAAGTATGAAATATTTTTAATTTAATTTCTTTTATTTCATGAAAATATAAATGTAAATAAACACATTTTCGGTTTACAATTTCCACTCTCCGAAGAAATGTTTGTAAAAATGTAAACATTATTATTTTAGATATATTTTCTCTGGGTCTGCACATGCAGATTTCAATCAGTCAATGGATTTATACCTTTGTTTTTTTTTTAGTTCTACCGCCAAAGAGTGATAAAAGGTTTATTTTGAGGTTTCTCTTAAAATCAAATAACCACCATGGCCTTTCAAAATATCCGTTTCACAGCATTAAACCCGTAGACTCAATCACACTCGATGTCTGCTGATCCCAAGGACCGTAGACCTGCAAATCCGTATAAATCGGAGGAGTGAAAAAAGTGCGTGGCATACAATCAACTGCATTGATTGCATGCACAGCAATTACCACAGAGATTTCTCCGTTTCTTTTTTTTTCCACCCGCCGATTTTTATTAATTGACGCCTGCCGGCGGCCATGACGTTTGTGGACTCTTGGTTGACAGCCAACAGACAATTAATCAATTTGCTGCTTAATTATGATGTTGATGGCTCAGTAAAAAATCAAAGAACCCAAGAGCAAAGAATTCAGAACTGTAGTCAAAGGTTAATCACAATCAAATTGAGCGCTGAAAAGCCGAAAATATTCTTAAATTTCCCCTTAAAGTATAGGCTCTGGCAGCAGATTAAAATCGCATCAATTTTGAAATGAATGCTACGATGGAAAAGTGTTTTTCATCTTGGTATCAGGCAGGCAGGCAGGGGAGCTCATGCCAGCTGCTGGTACGCAAAAGGCGACATGACAACCTAAGGCGCCCCGAAAACTCGCCTTCATGTTGCATTCAGCCAGCGGAGGCGTCAGCTGGCGCCACATATCACGATACTACACCCTCCAGTTATGCCTCTACCCCGAAACGAAAACCCATCTGAACTCTGGCATTTTGCCTCATTCTGTATGCACTCAACGCATTAAGTGGCGACATGTGTTACACTGAAGACAGGCGACACTCATGGCAGCAACATCCAAGGCAGCAGCAACAGCAGCAGCAAAAAGAACCCCCATGTAGGCTGCAGAGGGACATGTTAGTGGGGTGTTAATAGAATCCATCCCAGCACTGTGCTGCATTCTAATGCAAGCCGCCTCAGGGCCGGACATTAATCAACCAAAAATGAAAAACCAAAATACCAAAACTGCAGCCATGAAATGTAGCTAATGAAATCCAAAACTCTTTCGCCTGGAATTATTGTTGGGATTCTGCTGTTGAAATTCTTGCTAATTAAGTGGCGTCATTGCCATGTCAACTGCTACCGCCGCAGCAGGAGGGAAAATCATCAAATCAGAAATTAACTTGAATATTGGCATCGCAACAGCAGCAGGCGCAGTAGTGACAGTGGCAGCAGCACCAGCAGTGGATGCCACAGAGCTGTATGGATCACCTGCTGTGTGGCAATCAAAAATCGTTCGTTAAAGCGCAACTTTTATCTCACCGAAGAGCACCAGCATTTCATAGTCCTCTATTTTCTGCGTTATTTATTTATTAAACAGAGAAAAAACAGCAAAAACAGTTTGGCGTTTGGCAGCTAAAGTCACGTAGAAAATGCATAAAAATTCCGTAAAAGAAAGTAAAGTCTTGTCATGCATTTATGCAAAATGTAGGAGACATTTACCTTTTCGTACCCCCCTGCTGCTGCTGCTGCTGCTGTGCGTGTGCCACTAATTTGAAGCAAAAGAAAAATGTTTTCCCTTTTTCTTTTTTTTTTCTCTGTCAGCACGCACCTTATATAAAAGTTTTTTTCCGTAGGGTAGATATGGGAGTTGCATGTCCAAAATAGTTGCTCAAGTTTGCTGCTTTGCATAATTTACAGGGCATGTGCCCAGAGAGAGAGAGAGAGAGACCGAATATAGTTCTTCATTTCATCAGTATTTCCATTTGAAATCATTTTCCGAGACAGGACCACGGCATCACACACTGCCAAACAGGTGTGGCAGTGGAGTGTTGTGGCATCACTAATTAGAATCGAAATTTCTATACAAGCGAAATCAAATTTCTGTGGCCCTGCGTCTGGCAGCTGTGGTCTGGTCTGACCATCTGTTGGATTGTGCATCCATCAGATACATAATTTATTTTCCAGAGTTTTGCACAACTATTTGGTTAGCCACAAATTCTGTATGCATCGCATACAATTACAATTGCATCTCATGTTTCTGCTTATTTTCAAAATTTTGCTCCCTGTTTGAATACTAGAAGTCAACATGACTTTAAAAGTCCAAGTCTAAAGTCATAAAAGGCAGTAATTTAAGGAGCTTAAAGGCGCTAAGTAGGGAAGAAAGGCCCAAAAAAAGGCGCTTTGGAAAGTGCATAGAAAACCCATCGGAAAAGGAGTGTTGGAGGCACAGAGAATATCCCAGACCCCCAGCAGAGCACACAGTTTCGTGAAAATATGAGTGAACGTATTGCTTTGAATTTCCTTTCATGGGAAACCTATTCTGAAACCCTTTCCATTTCTTAACTAAACAACACAGCAAAAAGCAACATATTCAGAGCCAAAAAATCCGAGACATGGCTGATCGATTTGGCACAAAAGAAGGTTCGAATTGGTTTGAATTCAAATCAATGGAAATAAAATCATAAAGTAATATCTAATTATAGCGTTTGACGGCCTAAGCCGAGATTCCGCATATTACCAGATTGGTGTTGGTGCGGCAATTGGTTTCTTCATCGGTTATATTTTCGTTAAGGCCACCAAGACCGTTGCCATTGCAGTGGGAGGATCGCTACTGATAATGCAGCTGGCACTTCAATCTGAACTGATCAAATTCGATGCCCTGGCGACGATACTGTTGCATGGCAACAAACGCAATTCCCAATATGTCCATTTTGTACCCACCGTCGCCAAGGCAGATACTATACACATATTGATGGAACAGTTGGCCAAGGCCTATGATGAAATTGCTGGCAATAGACGTCTGTGCGTTGCCATGATCGGCGGTTATTTGTTGGGTTACGGCCTGGCCTAAGCCCAAGCTGATTAAATTATTTATATTTTTTATGTTGTTTCTGTTGAAATTAAAATTATATAAATTAAAGGATATAAATGTGGCAGCATTTTATTTCCCAGAAAAATACAGGGAAATATTATGGAGAATGCTAAAAAAAAAACCTTGCTTTTAATTTGTTTTGTTTTTGGTTCCCCGATATATTTCTCAGTTATTTTGCAACTATCTGCATCTAAATTAACGTTCCGAAACAGACAAACCATCCAAGGCCCTGCTCCCTGTGGCAGCCACAAAGCAGCGTTCATCACTTGCAACTAACAACGTGGTGCACCCTGACTACCCCTCGCTCTTTCTCACTGCCTCCTGCAGCTCACCGCAGTTAATTTGTTGTACCAGCCCGCACACACAAATACTCGTACCAGCAAATATAAGGTTGCAGTCGGAGTGGAGTGCAGTGAGAGCATCGTTTGCTTTGAGCCAACTCTGAGCAAAACTCTTTATCCACTGACGGACACCATGGCTCTGGTTACTGACTGTTTTCAAATTTACAACATGTCAACAGGCATCACAGGCGGGTTCCAGAGATGCTGCTCCTCCCAGTGCTCCGTGTGTCCAGCGTCCAGTGGCCTTACAACACATTAACCATATGCCGGGTGGAGTCGGATGTTGGCTTTTAGAATTGTGTGAATAAATATTACGCATACGCATACGTTCACGTTCACGTTGGACGTGGCTTTCTTTGGTGTGTGTGTATTTGTGTTGTGCAAAGTACATAGGAAAAACCCTAAAACTCAATTTGCCAGCATGCAATCATGTAAAACTTAACGCACAATTGACTCACAAAAGGGAGTGGAAAAGTGCTTGGAACGTACATGTACAGTTGTGCTTGCACTTGCACTTGCAATGATGTTGCAATTTAAATTATTCATGAATAATGTTGTGGTTGAATAAGATAGATGGAAACTGTTCTGGGTTTCGAAAAAGGTTACAGTTTTAAATTATTAAAATGCGAATCTAAAGGCAAAACTATAAGCAAAATATTGTGTCCAAATATTTTGTAATCAAATATTTTGTCTTAGTTAGAAAGTCTTTACAACTACAGTTGTGTGCCATCTATTTAAGTTTGTGTTTTTTTTAATATATAATTTTTAAATTAACATATTTTTGTTTTTAATTTTTAAAATTTTAAATTTTTAAATTTTATTTTTTATTTATTCTTTGTAAATTCTCTAAAAATGTGACTATTAACTCCCTACCATTAAGTACAGTTCTGTTGAATAACTTGTTGATACTGACTGAAGTTTCAACCATCCCTTGGCCACATACTCGTAATACATTATTGAATAACCCATCATTTGCGCTCATCTGTAAAATTCTTCAATCTGTGCATACAAAATGGTAAATTTCCACAGAACTCACGTATTGTAAGCTCGAGGAAAAACACCTACATTAAACTATAGCATAGCCATAAAATCAAAGTAAAAAAGAAAAAGAAAAAAAAAAGAAAAACGCTGAAGAAAAAGAGAAAAAGAATTGTGAAAAAGTAAAGTAAAGGAAATTGCTGGAGCAAAAGATTTTACCGCATGGCAAACACGTTTCGCATTGGAACGTTACTCGTGTGGGTTCGTTGTGTCTGTGAGAGAGAGGGAGGATGTGATGTGTTCTTGAGCTCCACATTTTATGGTCAAGTTGTGCAAGTTACTGTTTCATTTATATTTCATGTGTGTGTGTGTGTGTGGTCTTTGTTTTCCAGCAGTACGAGTGCCCAGACAGTTTTCACATTTTACTTTTCCTATTAATGTCAATTTAAATGTTGAAACACTTTGGTTTTCCTTTTCTTTTCGTTTTTTTTTTTTGTGTGTGTTTTCTTTATGTGCTAGAATCCCCAATGGGGCATGGGTCTGAGGTTGAGATATTGTTTCGGAAAAAAAGCACTTATAGCAACTGCACTACTCGCCGGCCAGATTATCGGTATGAGAAATAGTTGAATGCCCCATGCCTTCTACCCTATACCTTACCTTACCTTACCACTGCATTTCCCGCAGTCATTTGTGGCAATTTGCGTGCTCATTGTTAATTTGATTTTCAGCTTACGATAAGCGGCGGGGAAAACACCTCGAGGGCTCGAGAGAGGGAGAGAGAGAGAGAGAGCTCTGTTCTGAAGTCCTCTGCTATTTGTAGGGGGCAGAGCGGTAGAGTCCACTGCTATTTGGAGAGGTTAGGGCGTGGTCTGGCCGCATAATTGAACGATAAATTAAATAAAAGAACGTGGAAAAAAAACCCCAAAAACTAAATGCATTCAAGCGTAGTTTTTGCAAATGCAATTGAACTGTTAAAATCGAGGGGTTTTCCTATTGCTTAAGCCGAACAATTCATGGATGTAGAGCTGCAGGAGCGCACTTTTTTGGGGGTATAAAACACTCTGAAAATTCCACTCTTTAGCACATCAGGTTCCATTGAAGAACTTTAATAAATGTGGCCAAAATACAAAGGCAATAATTAAAATTAAATATTTATAGAACACATTACATTCCAAGAAATTGAATATGCCAATTATGTATTTTCATTTATTTTAATATCACACATAATTATTTATGCTACCGAAATTCTTGCATAAATAACTGCATCTACCTTTAGGCATACGAAAATTAATTAAAATATAAGCATATATCAATCGCTTTGATATGCCCCCCCCAAATATATTCTACGGCTAATTGATACGCGTGAAATTTCATTTCGCTAAAGTTAAACCGATTTAAAAGCATTAAATGGTTTTTTCCATTCATTTAAGCAACGTCAAATATTTAATTCTGGCAATCTGGGCACAAAAAAACCCCCATACACACAGTGTTAAATCCTGCATAGGCCAAGGCCTGGGCCTTTGATGTTCTGTCGGCACGGTCTGGCGGTCATTTTCAAAGTTAAACGTAAGCTGAGAGTGTGAGAAGTGCATAGAGAAAGGCGCCTAGGAATAGGAGTATAAAAAGTGCATCGAAAAGACTGAAGCAGGGGCTCCACCACCAGAGCACAACTCTTTCTGAAAATATGAGAGCAAAAAATGCCTTGAATTTCCTTTTAAAAATTGTACTTTTCCAAAATATTGAAAATCAAATAAAAAACCAAAAAAAAAGAAAAATAATCAACATTTAAGATTTAAAAAAAACCGTATAAATGCCTGAGAATTTTGTGACAAAAGAAGGTTCGTAAACGAAAAATCAAAATCAATAGAATGTCCACCAATAATTGTTTGATCGCAGCTCTTGACGGCTTAAGCAGGCGATCACCTTACACCCAGATTGCCATTGGCGCTGGCTCGGGTTTTCTCGCCGGCTACGTGCTGTTCAAGGCCAGCAAGTCCGTTGCCATTGTGGCAGGTGGAGCGATACTGATTCTACAGCTAGCAGTTCAATCCGGACTGATAAGAAGTAATCCCTTGGAAACGATCGTGTTGCAAGGGCACCCACGCAATACAGGGAATGTGCGTACGGGGCCAGCCACCACCAATTCACAGTCGCCCATGGCACAGTTGAACAAGGCCTATGATGTTGTAGCTGGCAGTAGCCGGCTATGCGTTTCCATGTTCGGCGGTTTCTTGGTGGGTTTTGGCCTGGCCTGATTATATGCGTATATAAAAGTAAATAAACTCTCACATAAATGTATTATAACATGTATAAATTAAAGTATGTTAATGTGGCAGCATTTTATTCCGCCTTTTGACTATAACCAAGGGGAAATGCAGTGAAACTTTTGCATAACAAAAGCCTTGAAAATTTTATAGAAATGCTCTTAACAAATTTGCCGGCTCACCTACACACACACACAAACACACACATACATACATTAAAAAGTTTTTTTGCATTCTCGCAAAAACTTGAAAGTTGTAACAACATTTTCATGCGCTTTTAAACATTTCAATTTTCATGCACAGAGCGAGTGGGTGAAAATTTATGCATAGGCAAAAGTTTTTCATCAAAACCCAGGCAAATAGCTTACGACTGAGATAAGTGGATGTGTTACAGTGTCTAAGAGAGACTACCTCCACCTCTTTTAATTTGGTTGCATTAATTTCTCAATTTATTGCTAATTCTACAAATTCGTTTGCAAAATTATTTATTATTTGCAATAGCTTCTGACTGGAATACAATATACAGTAGGAGTGCAAGGAATGCCTGACCGTCACGTATGGACAACTATTTGACATGTGGCTGCTGGGACTCGTGCCGCAGTGGTGTGCATTTTTATCTGTTTTCTTGCATCGAGCATACAGGATATGCTGCATCCTGCATCTATGGAAAAGATGTGTGCTGCCAGCAATAACGCAAAAACCCAATTTAAATCGAAACCGAAACTCCCGAAAATTCTGAACCCACACACACACACATCCGCAATCAAACACGTACCGTGTGGTGGGGCGGTGGTAGGGGGTAACACATGTCGTATGGCCAATAAAATTTGCATTTCCAAAAAGCCACATACAAACATTTTTGTGCTATATTTTGCTTTTTTTCTTGCATTGGTAATCGAATTTAAAAAGTTTGCAATGAATATTCCCACTGGAAAAGCTAGTTTAATTTGACATTTTGATTATGCAAATATTAGATAATCCCAATTAGGTAGATACGAACGGGGCAGAGTCTTGAATTAATTGAAAGAGCTGGCTGCTCCTCCTCTGGGCCAGGTCCGCCAGTCCGAAGATAAATGAAGTTGAAAGTTTGCCTTGTGATTAGCATTTGATTTCGGTTGCAGGAGAGAAACTCGAGGGTGGGGGAGTGGGGATTGTGGGGCGAGTGGAGTGCAGTGGTGAGTGGTGAAGCTTGCAGCAGTGGCAAGCTTTTCAAATGAGGTCGAAAGTGGGCGCTGCTGATGGTTGGACTTTTGTTAAGAGTTTGGGAGTCAATTAATTCCAGTTGCTAATTGGTTTGCTAATTGGCAGAGGTTTTACTTGTGGAAAAAGGTGGGGAACCACCCAAAAAATAAGATACGAAAATAGATTTTAATGTGCAAATAATACTCGCAACGGGCACCGCAAAAACGTATAAGGTTCTTCGCCGCAAATCATAGGCGAACAAAACAGCCCGTAATTGTTTATTCAACAAAGTAAACCAAAAACCCCAAACCAAATGCATGTCTGAACCAGAAACCCAACCAAAACTACACACAGAATATGGCTATTCCATGTTGTAAGCACTTGGAATAGAATTTGTGTAATATTTCGAACCATTTCAACCGAAAACAGAAACCGCAAATAGCGTAAATTGGAAATTATTATTGGGGAAATTATTAAATTGTTTGCTGCTAAAGTCAAGAGGCGGTGCATTTAATTGCTGATATATCCTGGGCAATAGCTCGATTAAATTATAAGCAGCTCAAACAGCAGCAGCAGCTCCAACTCCAACTCCACCTCGGAATCCGTTTTCGAATTGAAACTTCAAAGGTTTTTTTTGCAAATGCTGTTGGCTACGGCTGCTCATTAAATTTTCATGCTTGCCTGCAGTCCAAGGTAAAATACGAGCATCAGCATTGCAATTGCAATCGTCTCGCATCGCACAATGCTCTCTCCACTCTCCATCGTTTCCCATTTCCACGCTTTTCTTTTATTTTCCGCTCAGCCCCTTCATTTGCTGCCTGCTTGCCGCCGCTTTTGTTGTTAATATACAAAACAAAAACAACAACAAAAAAACAAGAGGAAAAAACGTGGCAAAAAAAAAAACAACACAAAACGAACAGAGGGGAACTTCATAGCAAAGGCATTTTATTCTCTATCTTCGTGGGTTTGTTTGACCCATGGCGGAGACAGGAACAACGAAACTATTAAAGTGGAAAAGCACTTAAATTTAAATAATAAATAATAAAGAGGATTTTTTTTTATGTGGAAATTTAATGAAAACGTGGCGAGTGAAATGAAAATGAAGTACTTTGTGGGGATTTTAGGGAGTTTAAGTTTTTAATTTGTAGCAGCGGAAGAGCAGAAAGAAGTGTTTGCCATATGAAAAAATACAAGAGAACATGCCCACTCTTTTGGTTAATTAATATTATGGATTACAGAGTAGCAGAAAAGAAAATATCACAGAATTGGAATATGATTTATGTAGAATTTAACCAAATATTAAAGAAGAATTATTAGATTTATCTAAGGGTCAAAGCAGTGGGACCCACGGCTTAAAATCAAAACAAAATAAAAAATGAGAATCTCAGTCGAGTGCGTAATGCGCTGTTGTTTTGGTTGTTGCCGAGAGAGCACGACAGAGCCTGAAAGAGAGTATCGAAGCTCGAGTACACTTTATTTAACATTCAAATATATTACGTATCCATTAAGCTCTGCTCACGGGACGGCCCGGAAATGATTTCGCAGGTAGCGATCGTTGCTGCCAAGCACTGTTGTGTTTACTCTCTTTCTCTATCTCTCTCTTCGACATCACACCCCCAGCAGACGGCTGGCGAAAGGCGGCCCCAGGAGAATAACGGGCCGACAGAGAATAAGCATAAATTATTTTTATTAAATATTATTAATGATTATCCATAATAGATCTGCTTGAGAAAAAAAAATAAAACTCAAAAATAATTAAAACTCAAAGGTAAATAATGAAAATATCGAGGGGAGCTTACTAATTAAGTCTTCTGCCCTGCAGGTGGCAGAATCTACAGCAATGCACATGCAAATAGCAATAAGCGACTAAGGGAACAGTAAATCTATACATATCAAAGTGCTGGTTGATACCTATTCAAGTGCCTGGCAGTGCACAGCAAATGCACGAGTCGAAGCAGTCTGCTCTGCTCTCTCTCTCTCTCTCTACGTCACTATTTATGTATGTTAATATATGTATGTACATTTGTTTGCATGTACATATGTATGTATAAGCTTATCTAAATAACTGCTAAACCCAAAATCAACTCTCGGCTTAGGCATACCGTCAAAACATCAACATCCACCGGTCATATCAATATCGAATCGGTAACCACACATAATTTAATTTATATTTACACCGCACCGAACACGAATGGAAACTCCATTCATCGAGAGAGAGAGAGAGATAGTCTGAACAAAAGCAACCACAGGACTCACGGAGGAAAATTCCGGAAAATTGATTGATAGTTTTGATGTCAGAAAGCGGAGCAGAGCTGTTGCTGCTGCTGCAGCTGCTCCTGCTGCTGCTATGGCAACCATTTCGATCGCAGGCATCGTTTTCGTTATTGTTGCCACACACTCTCGTTGATTGTGCGTTCGGTTGGATTAATTTAATGAAGTTATTAAAATCATAGCCATCGGTCGGGTAAAGGTTTACCCAATCGCTCCCTGAAATTTTGGGAAAAACATTTTCATCCACACATAAAGGGGCGGGGCCTTAAAGCTGAGTGTGTGTGGGGGGGCTGGGCAGGAGAAAACTTTGGGTGTAATTTTCTGGCCTGGTCACTTACTGGCGGATGTAATTTCCCACTCAAATTGGCACTGACTCATGCCGCCCACCAATGCACATGAACTTGCTATAAATCTAAACCCAAAGTGGGCGTGGCAGAACTTACTATCAGGAATACCCCATCTGTCTGATTGTCTGACTCGCTCTCACTCTGCGTGTCTGCCTGTCTGCCTGTCTGTCTGCCTTCGTCTGGGCAGGGGCAGGGCAGCGGCAGGGGCAGGGCAGAGCATTACGTGCAAATAGTTACGTGAAATTATTTCCGGAATCGGTAACAAATATCACATTGTTTGAGTTTCTACTCGCAATGAAGTTGCACTAAAGTTAGTTTCAAGTTAGCTGCTCCACACACACACACACACACATTGCTGCTTTCTTGGCTTAATTTTGTGGCTACAAAGAAATAGTTAAAAAATAAAAAAACTCAAGTTTAAAGTAAGTAAAGTTGTAAAGACTTTGAGGCATAGCAGTGCCAAAACTATTTAAGTTGTCCCTTTCTCATGCCTCAAGGGGGTATCTGAGTTTCATTTGCCGCACCGAAAAATCCCTTTCTGAATGCCGTCTACGAGTGTTGCCACGGTAGCCTGACTCTCAAACAGTCGCCATAAATGTTAATTAAATTAAAACGCTAATAGGCGTGAAATATGATAACACACACACAGGCACCAGTTCTATCACAGAAACGGTGGCCCAAGAGAGCACCAAAGAGTGTGCAAGAGCAGGAAGCAGGAAGGGAAAGACCATGACAGGTGGCAAAAACAAGGAAGTGACTCTATGGCTACTAATTCGACTAAAATATACCCTGATATCAAAAGAAAGGCTCTTTAGATAGTGCACTATTTTCTACAGTATTTTCTTTAATAGGATATTAGCTATAAATCTTTCTTTATTCTACCTGTAATATTTATCCATTGGCAAGGAATACTGTAAATTATTTTAATAACAATAATGATTTACAATAAAACCAAAGAAATTGAAATTGTGTGTACCACAAGACTCCTTACCGATGTGCAGGCGTATGGAGGAGGGATTGAATTTTTGAAGCTCTCTAAACCCTCTCTAAAGATTCTTCATTTTACATTACTATCCCTAAATCCCTACATACCCCTCTTCTTTAAAATAAAACTAGGTATCACAAGCAAGAAGGTGGCAAAAAATGGCAACAGCTGCCACACAGAGAGTCGTCTCCAGGGCTTTTTCGATGGAATGAAGAGATACCGAAAAGGGAGTATGGGAATTGCCAAAGTTTTGCCGCTCGCTTGATTTTCCAGAATAATACTCGTAATAATTAAAATGAAAATTAGAAATGGGCACAGTCGAAGCATCTGCCAAAAAGGGAAAGCAAACAGACAGATAGCAGAGAGGCAGAAAGAGAGAGGGTGAGAGAGAGAGAGAAAGGGGCAAAAGGAAAGCAAAGGACAATCTAGGTAAAATTTGCCTTTTGGTGTGGCGTCTAATTAAAAGGGATAAGTGCCTGGGCAGGTGTGAATCTGTCGAGGGGGTGGGCAAGAGGCAAGAAGTGGTCTCACAGAGGTGGGCAGAGGGCGGACCGAAGTAATTGCTAATTGCTGTGATTATGGGGGTCGAAAGGCAGAGCTGAAAATCGGTTGGGTTACTCGATGAATTGTCGGTAGGGGCAGAGAGTTTTTTATGGTAGAAAGAGATAGTTACATGGGGAATTTTTTCGTGGTAGGGAATTTATATTTCAATTTGGGATTTAAAACATTTTTTTTTGCTTAAATTTGGGGAAGGAAATCTTATAATGCTATTCAGAAATATTAAGTGATTCGTAGGTATTTATTGGTAGATTGGCATAGAAAACATATATATTTAATATATGTTTATATATTTAATAATTATTTTAAAAAATATTTTTTACTGGCAATGAAATATAAAATGATTTCGTTTTTAAAAAATAATTTTAAACTTTTACGAGAACGTTTCCTCAGGCAAAAACATATCCTATATGTCGGAATATCAATAATTTTTGTTTCTATGTAGATTTACACTCAGTTCCGTTTGAAACTGTTCATTCAACCCTCTCCTGAAGCACACTCTACAATAAACTGTTGCTTAGCCGCAATATCGAAACACTCTATCCACAAATGCACACACACACACACATATGTACAGGAACTCTATAGATAGATTTCAATCAAAAGCCAAACCACCTGCGGGCAACATCATTTGATGTTCCTTCCAAGAACCTCAGCACCCCTCACAGTCCACTTGTGTCCTTCCAATATGTGTGTCCTTCTGCTTAAGTGCCATTGACAGGCCACACCGCAAATGACAGGTGGCAATTGAAGAGAGAGGGGGGGATGGAGGCGTTGGGCAAGCCGCTTAAACCGAAGGACATATCCCCACCCATCTCTCGAGGGCTTCCTAATTTGAGTGTCGCGCGTGCATTGTCACAAATTCGCTGTCCGTTGGAGCATCCCCCCATCCGCCCCCCACCATTAAGATGATGAAATGTCCCTGAAGGTCACTAGGCAACACCACAACACCATAGCAGCCCCGGCAACCCCTCACTTGTTGCCACTTTAATTGTTATTAATATTTCAAAATGTCCTTTTATTTGATTGCGGTCGAGTGGAGTACAATTTTGGGTCTCACCCAAAAACAGCAGTGAACGATTTTCCACAGTGTATAAAGGTAAGGGGCAGAGGCAGGCCTGTTTGTCCTTGTCCTTGTGTGTGCCTTAGTCCTGATAATGCTTAATTTGCTGTTTAATTATGCAGAGAACGAACATTCATTGTCTCTTCTAATTACAGCTGTTTGTTATCTGCCAGAGAACACTGTACACTGGTACACACCCACCCACCTTTAAAGCGGCTTACGATGGATGCTATACATAATTTTCCACTTCTTTTGCCACACACACTCCACTCCACACTCCAGACTGACAATTTACCATTTTGGGGCAAACAACTTAATTTGGGTTACATTCCAGTTCTCACCACTGCCTCTACCCCCCGCCTGCCATGCCTCTCATGTAAGTTTTTTGGGGGAGAGGGTGGGTATGTTTGAGTGAGGAGGATGGGGGATTACAAATGGCCAAGCTGCGTGTAAATGTAACTGTCCTGACAGCCGAAACACGTTCGAAACACATAAACAGCTTTGGGTTCTATTTGTTTTTTTTTTTTTTTTTGCTCTCAGTTTGTCTCTCTGCCATTTGCTGGAAGTCCTTTAGCCAGAGCTCTCTCCTTGCTCCTCTTCGAAGAGAGGAGGGAGCCTCATAAATTTCAAATTTACTTTTGCCTTAAGGGACACAACAACACAAAAAGAGGCTTTCAATGTGTTTGAATATGCAGCCGAGAACTGAAACCATAAAAGATGGGGCATGTCCGATAGGTGGGATGATCGCTTAATGAACTAGAAATGAATTTGAAAGGATGTTTAGGCATGATATGAGAAGGAATTAGATTGGATATATTCATTTGACAATCAAATATTTGTTGGCAGGATGTATTCGTATAATGAACGGTACAGAAAATATTTAAAATGTCACGAAAGCTTAAAACAAAAATGAAATTTATATTATAAACAACTAATAAAACATTAAAATACATATACAAATAAATAACAAAAATAATTATGCAAAAAAATATTGCATTTATATATATTTTATATTGATAATTAAAATTTATTATTATTTATTTTCTTTGGAAGATTTTTTAAATGAAATAAATTATATTTGAATTATTTTTGTATATAGTTTAGTTGATCAATAAATGTAACAATATCAAATAAAAAATCAAAAAAATTCAATAAATATTGTATGGCTAATTCGCAGCAAAAAGATCTTTGTATTTCATGAATATTATATATGAAAGAAATCAGGCAATCAATTATTGCATTAAAAGAGAGTTTAAAATAAACTCGTTTCAGGAGCTATTTCCCTGCAATGGCTCTAGAATATTTCCAGATAGATATTCACTATTCCTAGTCAGAATTGAAGTACCATAAAATACCATTATACCAAATAAAATATCACAAAATCTACCAATATTCAACTGCAAAATTCCAATGAAACCACTATATTTCCCGTTCATTCGAGCACATTGATCAGATCTGGCTAAAATGCCGCATCATTTGGCGACAAAAACAGCCGCAAAAACGCAACTTATTTCGGACCGCACATAAATCTCAACCATCTATAGAAATTATTTGTACTCTCAACGGATAAAAGGGGATGTATCCGCAAACTGGCGCTTAAAAGCCGTTTAATAAGTCTGGCCTCACACACACAAAATAACACATGAGAAATATATCCTGCCACTGCATTGTGGATGGCAGCAAAAGGAGCTACTGGAGCTCCTGGTTGTTGGTCAATTGCCTGCCTGCCTGCCTGCATTGGCCATAAATAACCATGGGGTTCGCTTGCCTATTGAAACGTTGACATGGCACAGATACTCGTACTCGTGCTCGTATTTTGTCGCATAGTTTTTGATAAATTGTTGTAAACACTTAAAGCAATGAATAAAGCGGAATGAAAACTTACCAAAAAAGAATACATACAAAAGGGCTTCAAAATCTAAAAATAAAAAAGAGACAGTTAGAGCATAAGCTGAAATAAAAGAAAGAAATATAATACATTTATTTAATGTATATAATAAATTGCATCCCCAAATTTGAATTTAGAAGAAAACCATTATAGGAATAATAAAGCATTATCATATATACCAGATTGCAGCATTTGGTTGCAATCGGTTCAGTATTAAAGCCAGAATAATAGAACCAAGATGTTATTTGGCTGTTTGAACACTTGGCTTTTGAACACTTTTATTGCTAGAACCAAGGGCTTTAATATGTTTCCATTAAATAGTAAACTATCTCTCAAACCAATAATTATATTCCACTTGAGCTATCATCTTCTCTGAATAATTCTTCTGAAATAATCCGAAAACCGAAAGCGTAAAACCAATCAAACACTTGAAGAATAACATCCTATAGATAAATAGGTAAACGTTCTGCCGCCCGCAAATCCATTGAGCTCATTCACCTTTCAACTGTGCCACAGAGCTACATGCCACACAGCCACAGCTCCACAGCTCCATGGAGTCTCTGTCTCTATCTCTCTCACTCTTCTGGGGGGCCACAAGTTTATTTGCTCATTCAGCTCAATCACAGATCAAATAGCTGGGAAAAAGTGGTGCAATGAAAATACCTGGCAAACAATTTGAACTACGCTCAACCTTTAAACTGCACAAAGAAGGCGAGGAGCCAACAGATTGCCTTCCTTGTTGTCCCAAGGAGATGGTGATGGAGATGAAGGTGGGGAAGCGGTTCGAGTCAGACAATTGCCCCAGGAGGAGGAGGAGGAGGCAGACAGGCAGCATAAATTGCTCCGACACGAAAGGAAGTTGGAAGGATTGTTGAGGTCTAAATCTAAGGCTAAGGCTAAGCAGCCTGCTCAGCTTCTGCTCCTCTGGTGGTGTCCTCTCTCTCACTCTCTCTCTCTGTCTCCATTTCTTTTGTTTTTCCAGCAAACAATTTGCCAAATCCGGTTGAGAGAGATTGAACAAAAGAAATGCATATGCATAACTTTTGGCTCCACCACTCGCCCACTTTCCACATTCTAGAGATGGTAACGTGTGAGGTGCATGGCAGGAAGGGAAGGTTCACTGGGAGAAACCTGGAGTACTCCCACAAAAAAAACTTTATATATTTTTATAATATTCCCCAAAAACCTGACATCACGCTACCATCTCCATTTTGCCCCCCCCCCCTACCAATCCATTGTCTAAAGCCCCAAACGGTAATGCAATTTTAAGGAGGGCCTTTGATTTCCCAATTGGATTTTCACATATAACTCACATGCTTTCAACGCAGGCAGGAAAATAGTTGATGGGGGGAATGAGGAAACACTGGAAGTGCATTTAGATAATTTTAGAAAAGACATCAAATGGGTTGGATATTAACCCTCGAACTACCATCAATCGTAGAGTATTGGCAGCACTCCCAAACGCCACATGGAAAGTAGAAGCCAAAAAAAATGATTAAAACAACTGTCAAAGTGATTGACAGTAGCCCAGAAAAATGGGAGCTCGGCTACATGCATAAATTACCAAATAAATAACATAAATTTTATTTATTTTAAGCCCATCGTTGCCTGGTACAACCGTGTACCACCCCATACCCTGGAAAATTATGCAGCGATAACTTGTCGAGGTGTCGCCTTGACAGCCCCCCACACCCATTCCCACAACAAATAACAATAACTAAAGGATCCACCAGTTTGTTGTATCTTTGAGATACTCTTTAAGTTTTGCTGCAAAGAATGTATCTCATACGAGTTTCTATAAGTAACTCAACTTTTCCATTGTTGATGCAGCTTCAAAGAGGCCAAAATAAAGACCCTTTTGCTCGCCAAAAACCATGTAGAAAAGTTTGAAATATAATTAGGTTCCACTGTGAAAGTTCAGGGAGTGCGGTGAACATGTAAAAATAGAATATAAAATTAAAATAAAATATTATTATTAGAATCGAATAAAAATTGTATAATACGACAGAATATAACAGAATGTGTGACTAAATAGGATGCTATAATGCAGAAGAGGATTAGAAATGGATATGGCTAAGAACAAAATTCTTTTTAACCATTCGTCATGAGACTCAACAATGTAGAAGGATCTATGAATGGATATTTTACTCTTTCAAAATCCTTTACCCTATAAAAATATGAAAATATTTAATTTAAATATGAAATATCTTATTTGAAATATGAAATATTTGTAGACCAAATAATTTCATATTAATGTCAATAAGTTATAAGTTAAAATACTTTCGTTTCAAAATTTCCACTCACGGAACATTATTTAATCTAAGTGTTAATATTAAAATTTCAGTGTCTATTTATTTTGTTGTTATCTGATTTTTGCTGATTTTCCTTTAGTTCCGCATTTAATAAATCCTTGAACGTTTAACAGCTTTTCAATTATTTAATTGCAATTTCTTTGACTCGCACACTTCGAATCGATGGCCTAGTGGTTTATCATCATCAGGTTTATAATCATTTTAAAGTGCTTATCCACCTAACCCCCTACTTTTCGCTGCCATTAGTTAATTCCATAATCGATTACCGCTTGACCGATTGATGCAATGGAATGAAGGGTGGCGGAACTCAATCAGCTTTTCACTTTCCACCGTACAAAAGGAAGGGAATGGGAAGAGAGAGAGAGAGAGCGACAGAGAGAATGGACTGCCAAAGGAGCTGCCGTTCAGCACTTAATAAACGCAATTAATCCAATTAAAATGTCATGTCCCATTAATGCGAATTAAACACAGCACCAGCAAATGTTGTGCAATTAAATAAATGCACTTAAACCAATGAAAAGTACACCCACAAACACAGAGAGAGAGAGATAGAGAGAGAGAGAGAGAGAGAGAGATGCGGTGAAATGAGGCGTGGAAAATGCACATATCAATGGCATAAAGCCGCTTGACAGTTGAAAGATGAAAGAGCAGACAAAGGGAGAGAGCGCGGGAGTGGGCCAAAGGAAAGCGGAAAGCGGAAAAGCAGCAGCCAAATAAGCTTGGCAAAAATTTACACGCCACAATAAACAATGAACAGTGAACAATTAAATGTGAAAGCAATGCAAATGCCAGTTTGTGGCTCCATCCATTTTCCAACCATTTTCGCTTTTCCCGTTCCCCGTTTCAGGACTTTTATCAACATAATCGACTGTGTCAACGCTTTCTGGTCAATTTTCACCCCTTTGGCGACTGTCCAACTAATTAAATGCGACAAATATATTTACAATAAACTCACAACAAATAATATCTGTTGCAGGCTCCATTCCCTTCCGTTCGTGGCCGTTTGCTTGGGTTTAATTTTCCATTTTTCATATTTATTCATCATCATTGGTATTACAAACAGAGCCACAACAGAGCCATGGAGGCATGCAGTATGAGGCATGGGGCATGCAATTAATATGCTTAATTTACATGTTGTATGGATACATTTTATTGTATTGTTTGCCCTGTGGCAACAAACAGTTCAGTTCAGTGTTGGCATGCTGCCTGAGGAGAGTTTGGTGTGTGCCACAGGGATACTCATTGTGGGATGCAAGTTTTTTCAATGCAAACTCCATGTATTTGTATGGGTTATTTCATTAAAATTTCTGAATATTAGATTATTATTAGAGTCAGACAAAAGAGATTTAGTTCGATTTTGACCACTCTCTGGACTCTCTTTTGATTCTCTTTATACCCCCTATTTGGACGCCTCTTTGGACCTCTCTTTAGACCCATTTAGAACCATCTCTCTCGACAGACGGACGGGCACCACTGCATGACGTGTGAATACGTTTAGACAAATATTTATTTATTAAATTTATTTTGCAGAACTAAAATTTTTCAAACTATTTCTTGATCCGCTTTAATTAAATCTCATGGTGGACCATTTATAATTATAATAATATAACATTAATAAGATAAAGAAATAAATACATATTTTGTGATATTTAAAACCATATTTTCATCCAAAAGAAGAGCTTTAAAGTTATCTTAGAATAATTCGAATTGTTATTCAAAAGAAAGTTATTTCAAGAATTGTTTTCCCTACGTTTTCAGTATTACAAAATTTCATAGATATAAAAGAAATCTATATAGATACAAATATAATAAAATATCGTGTACAAAACATTCCCATAACCATCCAATTTATTGCTGGGAAAACTCTGCAAAAGTTTTTTGTTGCTTGTCTGCGGGCTTTTTGTGGCATAGTTTGTGGCATTCTTCATGGGCTTTTCCTGTGGCCTTGCCGTACGCTTTTGCCGTCAAATTATTGCATTACAAAATTCACAACACAACAATTTCCTCCCCCAGTGGAAAACAGTTTTCCGTTGTCACCTTGAAGCATTGCCTTCGCCAGGCAAGCAAGCGCCCTCAATAAAATAATTTACTTTACGTCAAGTTTTGTCTTTATTTTTTAATTAGCTGCTGAGCATTTTCATGGCATTTTCATTGTCGTTGGCATTTGGTGGCTGTGTGGGTGGCACTTTTGTTAGGCAAACCACCGCCTCCTTCCGTAGCTTGTCTTTTTCGAGTGCTAATTGCATTTTGTTCTTGTGTTTTGTTGTTGTTTTTTTTTTGGTTGCTTATTTCTACTGTTTTGAGGTTTGTGCTGTTGCTGCCATAAATGCAATTAGTAACAAGTTTTTCCCACCATGGAAAATGTGGTTTGGGCAACCAGCCGTGTACCCTGTAGATATCTTTTCAGACGCAGAGATCTTTCTTGCTTTTTTGTGTCCTTTAATTGAATTAAATTTGTATCAAGTCAAACCCTTTTTTGTGTGTATCTCTGACCTATAGACCAGAATAAACAATGTCTATCCAGACCACACAAAAACACACACACAAATACTCAGTTACTCGTATCTGCCACAACTTGTGTATACAAATATTTGTAAAACGTGTTCATCATCCTGTTGACAAGGTCGTTTACAGAATAAATTCACTAAGCAAAATGTTTTTATTGGATTTAACTTTTGCATTTATGCCAAACGCATGAAGCGTCCACCGTCCGTCTGT